CCGCAGGTTCAAGCTCGGTTTTTTCACCCCCGAAAACACCACCCGCCGCTACCTCGCCGTATTCTACGCGGTTCACGAAGAAACCGTCTTGTGGGTCGCCAACCGTGACAATCCCCTCACCGACTCTTCCGGAACATTCACCATCGCCAGCGATGGCAACCTTGTCCTAACCGATGTCCGAAACCGAACCATCTGGTCGACCAACGCCGCCACGTCAGCGTCCCCCGCCACCTCGACTGCCCAAATCCTCGACTCTGGAAACCTCGTACTCCGCGAAAGCCCGGGCGGGAGAATCGTATGGGACTCGTTTTCTCACCCGTCCAACACGTTCGTCCCCACCATGAAGCTGACCCACGATACTATCACGGGCCGCCGGGTCCGGATATCGTCGTGGAGAAGCCCGTCCGACCCTAGAGACGGGAACTTCTCGACGGGCCTCCAAGCTACTACTTCCGGGATCTCGCAGATTTTCACGTGGAAAAACGAGCGGCCGCACTACAGAACCGGGCCGTGGAACGGTATCCTGCTCATCGGTATACAGGACATGTACTCGCCTTACCTTGACGGTTTCCAAGTCGGGAACGACTCGGGGAACGTGTTCTTCATGGCCCCTCCGAAAAGGTTCTTGATGAAAATCGAGCTGAACACGAGCGGCACGCTAGTGAAGTCGTTGTGGGACGAGCAGACGAGGAGTTGGGATGCAATGTGGGTGGCCCCACGACAGGTGTGCGACGTGTACGGGATGTGCGGGCCCTTCGGGCTTTGCAACCCTTTGCGCCAGCCCGTGTGTTATTGCCTGCCGGGCTTCGAGCCTGTCGATAGGGACGAGTGGGGCAGAGGGAATTGGACGGGCGGATGCGCGAGGAGGACAGGGCTCGAGTGTGCGGATGATGGGTTCTTGAGGCTGCCGTTTGTGAAGGTGCCTGATTTTGCAGAGAGGTTCGCGGGCCGGGCCGTGGAGGACTGCAGGGTTAGGTGTTTGAGGAGCTGTTGGTGTTTGGGTTACTCACACGACGTGAATATCGGGTGCATGCTTTGGAGGGAGACGTTGGTCGACATGCAGCAGTTTAATGGGGTTGGTCCAGATTTTTATCTTCGGCTGGCGGCTTCGGAACTAGGTTCTGTGACGAACTTTTGCCTTTCGATATTATCGTAACTTAAAAATGATTTGGGATTTACTTCCTTTTTTTTTTTGTCCCCAGATAACAACAATGACAGAAGGCTGGTTATCATCTTACCAGTAGTGGTGGGTTTTGTGTTCCTATCCATTTGCATCTTCATTGCTTTGTGCTGGATGGCTAGGAGAAAAGGTCTGTGAAAAGGCAACAAAAAAAATTTATGAAAAAACACGACCAAGTCGACAAGTTTGCTTTGTTTAACGTACTAAGTTACACATATACTGAAACCATTTTGCAGGAAGAAGAATAAAAGACCAAAAGGCATTGGAGACGCTACAATTGGACTCGAGTGCTATTGTGCTCAAAGATGAATCCGAGAGAGTCAACATTCAAGAGTTGCCGTTGTTCACTTTCAAGACTCTTGCTGATGCAACTAACCAATTCCATGACGAGAATATGCTCGGCAGGGGAGGTTTTGGATATGTTTACAAGGTACATTCTTCAATATTTCATATGTATCTTCTCATGTGTGTTTTGTAACAATTTTCGGGAACTTTATTCGCGCTTGTTGTTTTTCACAGGGAAGGCTGGCCAGTGGGAAAGAAATCGCTGTGAAGAGACTTTCGGCAGCTTCAGGGCAAGGGATGGAAGAATTCATGAATGAGGCAATTGTGATTTCCAAAGTCCAACATAGGAACCTCGTCAAGTTGGTCGGATGTTGTGTTGAACGAGAAGAGAAGATGCTCGTATATGAATACATGCCTAATAACAGCTTGGACATTTGCCTTTTTGGTCTGTCGCCTAATATATGCTCATTCATGAATAATGCATTTGTATAGCATATGAAAATATATCTGTCTGAAATTAACTTTTACCTTTTGTGAAATGTAGATCCGGCACATCCATCGCAAAAGATTCTCGACTGGAAAAAACGTTTGAGTATCATGGAAGGTACCGGAAGAGGGCTCTTATACCTTCACATGGACTCCAGACTGAAAATCATCCACCGTGACCTGAAGCCGAGTAATGTGTTGCTCGATGAGGACTATAACCCCAAAATTTCGGACTTTGGCATGGCAAGAATTTTCGGGGGCAACCAAGATCAGGCCAATACAGCTAGAGTAGTGGGAACATAGTGAGTGATTCTGTTTTAAACTCAGCCATGTTATAATCTTTTGTCAAATGTTATGATCATAACTTGTTTTTTTTTTTGGCGATTTATGCTGCTGCAGTGGATATATGGCACCAGAATATGCAATGGACGGTCGATTTTCTGAGAAATCCGACGTTTACAGTTTTGGGGTGCTGATGTTGGAGATCATAAGCGGGAAAAAGAACACACATTATTACAATCAAGAATGGTCTTTGAGCCTTTTAGGCTGTGTAAGTTTCATGATCCTCAAGAAAGGGCTGTTTGTAACAAACTTAAGGTGGTATATATATTTGTATAATTCGTTTAGTCGAACATTTCAGGCATGGAAGTTGTGGAGTGAAAACAATGGCACGGCTTTCGCGGATCGAACGATAGCCAATCCAGTTTTCCAGGGAGAGATTGTGAGATGCATTCATATTGCCCTTCTGTGTGTTCAAGAATTCCCACAAGATAGACCGCCCGTTCAAACGGTTCTTTCCATGCTGAGTCGTGAAATAGTCGACCTGCCGCCACCTCAACAGCCGGTCTTCGCCGAGAAGTGGAACCGAACTCATAATGTAGGGTCGGGTCACCCGACTGGGCAACAACAACTCGAGTTGTCTGTCAATGGTCTCACAATCACGGTACTTGAAGGACGATGAAATTTTTCCTCAATTTCTTGAAATAATCTGATTATATGATTCTTTACGAAAGTACGATGTTTGAGTTTTTCTGAGTAATGTGTATAATTGCGTAAATGGCGTACCTGGCAGTTTTCGACACCATATTGTTCTTATCAAACATTTTTAACAAAAATATTATTCGTCACAAATACTCTACACACCAGAGATGTAATTTTAATTTATCCTAATAATAAGCAAGAAAAACTATGCAACTCTCTACTCAGCAGAAACGTAACATTCTGTATAAATGTTTCTGCTCATTCTCATCATCAACAACTTTATCCTGTTATATTCAACAAACTTGTCCGATTCTCATACGGGCTTGGGTTGAATCTGCTCAAAGTCGAAAAGCTCAAACATGAGCCGCCTCACGTCAGGCTTCCCATAAACGGTGTAGGCAACCCCGTGAATGGCCTGTTGAACTGATGTGGTGGTCGGATTTCTCAGCCTCCGGTTATGCTCGTATGCATCTTGCACCTCGTCACTGTATATGATGAACCTATGGAGATGTTTCTCTCTCAAGTACTTACCGCAAAACTTGTTCATCAGTACACGCCTGTGCTTTTCCTGTAGCCATTTTCCAGGAGCATCTAGATGCTTCATGAGTAGCCTTTCGGCCATTACAAGATCCTGTGGGGAAAAGAAAAGAGAAAGAGAAAAAGGAAACTGTCATATATAGTTGTTGAGCAAATCATATGGGAAGTTGAAAATCGAGAGTTTTTTTATCGGGTTAACAACTTTTGGCAATTGGGTAAGAGGTCGAAAGCATAATACCTGGATCTTTTGACCAACATATTCCAGGCGTTCAAAGCAAAACCTGGGATGTTCGTACTTGTGTTTCGATGTGTGCATAAAAGCCAGCTGTATTTCGATTCAAAGAGTGACGATGAGAATTCGGGTTTGTGAATGGAAATGAAATAATTTATTGTGGAAATGCACAATGAATATACTTATCAAGATTATCCAAAATCCGTAGCTCTTCATGGACATCACACACAAATATATTCAATTAAGTCTAATGTTATTACAGTTATGAAGTCATACTGAAGAAAAGAATGATGTGCATCCCAAACAATCAGAGGATTTGAACAGAAAGTTACGATAATCCACTGGGTCAGAAAATACCTGTAAGCCTAGTCCAAGCTCGATATTTCTAGCTTCAGTGATTTGAGGAATCCTGTCCACCATAGACAAAGGGTACCCAAGCGTTTTCATGACTTGAGGCCTACTGTCATAATCCCATATATTTCCTCGAAATCGATGCATGCCAGGTGGCACGCATGCTCTGAAAAGCCTCGGATGAGCAAATAGCGCGTCTTCCGGGGGCTGCTAGATGTCAATTCAACAATGAGTTCGATACTGGTTTTCTCAAAGTACTAGCATTCATTAGAAATGCATCACTAACAATACTAAATGCAATGCCACCTGGTATTGTACATATTCCCAAGTTTAATCCTAATGAAAAACGCTCTTGGTATTTCCCTAAAAATATAAATAAATAAAAATAAAAGAAGTTCGATATACATTGGATGACTTAGAAAATCAGTTCCCAGTGTCCATGTCCGATACTTCATGATCGTAACTGTAAATTTCTTGTGTAGATAAACGTCCACGGCATGCTTGAGGTTCTAATGAATATTAACATTATTCTACCTAAAAAGAAATGCCTATTTTCTTACTCTGGAAGAGAATTCCCTCAACCTTAGAAGAAAAATGTGTAAAAAATCACATAGACGAGAGGATAAGGCAGATGGAAATCCCAAATAAAGCTAGTAAATATTTCTACAAAAATTAAATAAAATATAGACTGAAAATGAATTAGTGATTGCCTTGTAAGCAGCAACATCCTGCCAAGTCAGTTTCCGGTTGTCGAACTCAGAAGAAACATAGTCAACATCCTCAAGCTGCCTCCTCAGTTTAGGCTGGCAATCTTCAGCCTCTGGGTCCATTCCAAACACTTCAAAAAGAACACGATACACCTCTGGCATTCCAAAGCACAAATATATTGCCCCAAACAAAGCCCAAAACACAGATCTGCCACAATAATATTACTTGCAATGTTAGTATGCGAGTAATATAACCAGAGCTCTACATAAGATGAAATGATCAGATATGTTGTGCTTGTTATGACTAACGGTACTCTCAAGTTCAGTATAAGAAGTTGAAAATGAATGATGTGAAAAATGAATAAAAAAAATCACGAGAACTTTGGATATGGAAGATCATAGATTCGGTAATAGCATGCATGTATTCACTAACAAGAAGGACATAAAGCCACTAATAAATCAATGCTGCATATGTTCAAAAGCAAAGATGGATGGACCTACAGATATATAAAGATTGTTTTGTTCTTTATAGGCCTGTCGTGATTCTACTTCTCTGGATTGGTACTGCCAACTATGAATTCATCTATTCTCGTCAACTTGCCAAAACTCCATTACTATGTGATTGCACAATGTTAACATACAAGACTAAATACATAACAGAATCTGCATCTACCCGTTAATCATGATAAAGATCATATTGCAAATATATACACCATCATGTACAATGTTCATAAATCTGTTTACATTTAGCTTGTTTTTAATTAACAATTCCACAGGGTTATCCAAAAATCGAACTACTCCAATCGAACCTTAAGCTCACAACAATTTCTCAAACCGCATTCACTCGACCCAAACTTCACCAGAATTCTCAAAACGGCAGGTATAACAAAAAAACCACATAAACTAAATCAGCTTTCCAAATCACAAAACACCAAAACAAAGCATCAATGGAACCTACTTCACAGGAGGCTCCCGGTCCTTCCTAATCAGCCTATCCATGTCATCATACTGAAAGATCAGATTCTGCAAACCCGCAGCCTTGACCCACTTCGGCAGGAACCTCTTCCCAATAAAGGCATAAACCCTCTCCCTCATGGGCCCCGGAGACTCCCTCGGGTACCTCTGCAGGAAAAACTCGCAAAGCGCCATCTCAAGCACATACTGCCCCAAAAAAGATAGCCTCGAGTGTCCCGATCTCACGTGCCTCGCGTTCGTCCTCTCACAATGCGGGTGCTGAAAGGCCAAATAGAGCAGGGTATCAAACTGCTTGGCTGGATTATCGTCTCCATAGCTATCCGAAGGCTCGAGAGGGTAACCCAAGGCCTGCTTGGCCTCGAGCAAGTACTCGTCTATCCACGTGCGGTCGGCATTGTTCAGACGGGACGAGGGCAGACAAGAACTCAGCAAGGGGAAGGATTTAAGGGACAATTGAGGGCTGTTTAGGAATCTGTCGACGAGTTTTGAGTCGTCCAATGGAGGTTTGAGGATGAATCTCTTTGGGGGAGCAGCTCGCTTGGGGGAGACTACCTTCTTGCGCTCCGCGAGCTCTTTTAACAGCCTCTTGGGGCTGTTCTGAGGGAGTTCTTTCGGGTCAGCGGCAACCGACCGGACGCGGAGGTTTCGGGGGGGTTTGGGGGTTTTTTTGAAGTGGGTTTGGAAGGGGAAGGGCGATGAAAAGGAGGAGGAGGAGAAGGATAGGTCTGGTTTGAAGTGCGACGATAATGGTGTGTGAAGCTCCATTTACGAAGTGATAAAAATGGAAACGTGAAGGACAAAAGGGAAAAGCTTGGGTTTTTACTTTTCCTCCATAATGGGCCGGGGTTAGAGATGAGATGTTGAGGTGGGTGTGGTTAATGGGATGCCATTGAAGAGGTTTTTGCAAGGTTCATCTAGGTGCAGAAGGCAAAGGATAAGGGGGGACAAACCTGGATTTTTTTTATTTTTATTTTTATTTTTTCTTAAAAGATAATTATTGAATTCGAGCATGTTTGTTTACAAGATTTTTTAAAAAAAAATTCTAACATTTTAACTCTAACTATTTTTTTTAACTCAATTTTAATTCAACTCCAGTATCATCAATATTATTAATATAATTAAATAATATTAATCAATCGTTCATACACACTACATCAACATTAATTCATTATTCATCAACTCACAATATTTTAACTAACCATCACTTCAAATCATCCATCTCTTACTTTTACATCAATCTATTTTAATTATTTTATTTTAAATACTATTTTAATCTACCCACTAATAACTAACTATATTACCTTTTTCAAAACTAACCAAACAAAAAAAAAAAAAAAATCATAAACAAACATGCTCGAAATGTGTTGGCAAAACTACTATATTTCTTGTCCTCATGTTTTAATGCGTTCTAATGGTATAGCAATTTTAGTTTCAAGATTTCAATATTTCGTCTTTTAGTCATGTAACTTTTATTTTGTTGGCGACTGCAATTGAAACAACATTCTCAAATTTGTATTTTTTAGATGAATTTTGTTATTAGCAATTTAAATATTGAAGTTTATATTTTTTTCAACGACAAACAAGCAAATTCTATTAACTCAAAAAGGTGTAAAGGGGTACACAGTGTACTTAAATAGGTTTAGCATCCAGTCGTTTGTACGCAAAGGAAGCAACAAAAAGAAACAACAAAATACTAACGATGTCCTTCAGAGCTTCATTGGCTAAATCCATACTAACTTTATAAACACTGATAAAAATAACAATGAATAAACAAATCACTCAAAGAATGGATACTAGAGCTTCGTTATTGCCTTCTACAGCCTGATCCTCCAATAGTTGATTGTGTCATCAAATTCTTTACAAGCCAAACTACAAGCATTGAACATCCACTTATGATCAGAAGCAAGCTTTAGGATCTAAAGAACAACATCAATTTTGGCCTCCATCGAACTTTGAGTCCCTACAAGCCCTACCTCCCAGTCACATTGGCATAAGCATTAACAAATAAACAAACTAGTCCATTTGCCTCACTAATGGACATGTCCTCAAGCCACCA